CACGTGCACTGCGAAGTTCATAATTACGCCTGGATGAACGTCTTTCAAATTGCTCGATTATTAATTTCAGAGTGCCAAAGGATATTCTCCGATTAAAGACTACCACGCGAATACGGGCAGCACAAAAACACTTACATTGCAAGCCAAAGTATGTTGCTATAACATACAGTTTCCATGCTTTTATCAAAATGTTTTAACATTATCAACACACATCTTTCGGATTTATATCAGACAGGTATGAAACTATTAGCATGCATTTTCTTCTCAACCAGTTACAGAGAGTTACAGAGAGTTACACTGGTGCGGTTAAAACCTATCGCCCTATAAACATAAAATACCTGTTATGTGTTTGTCGTGTTCATTTTCAGCTATTAATTTGAATTAACATTAAAAACCGGTAAAATTAATTCCTTGGCGAAATAGACTACTCTTAATGGTAAACTTTTTTTCTACAATCGCGTAAAAACTCCTTATTATACAGGTAACATTGATGTTCTTTGTATATCTAACCCTGTTTATGATCTTATTATAGGCAATACACCTGATGTAAGACAGCCTTTCCATCCAGATCAAAATTGGGAAAGTGTTAAAACCATTAGCACAGGTTGTAGAAACTAGAGCCCAGGTACTATCTAAAAATAAAAAGTTTAAATCTCTTTAAGTGCCTTCAGCGTTAGAGGAGGTAACTGTTGATGAAATTAAGAATGAATAAATTAAAGATGAAACGTTGAAATCTATAAGAGATAAAGTGACTAATGGTGAAAAATTTGAAAGTGGTTCTAGAATATCTTGGTTTATATTAATCACGGGTTTAATTTACAGGTGTTTTATGTCCTCAGATGATGAACATGGAGAAACTTTGAAACAACTTGTCGTACCTACGTTTTACAGGTGTCAGGTTCTATATTTGGTGCTCATGGAGATGTTTCAAGATTTTGTAAATTTGTGAACGCACGTGCCCAAAAGGTAAAGTACTACATGTCTTTACTACATTATATTACCGGCGTTCTGGTTAAAGTGAGGGATTAGCCAATGAAACGGTCTGTTAGCGTGCGATGCACGGAACTGTGTCTAAACCACTAAGTAAGAATTTATTTTTAATGAAGACGGGCATACGCCATACAGTGTGCTATGAGGGAAATTTTGCCCGGACAGCGGCACTACGGTCTACTCTTATATCGAATTCCAACTGTCAAGGGATCTTTTACGTGCACGCCAATGTGTACACGGGACCTCGGTTTTTCGTCCCATCCGAACGACTAGACAGCTGTCCTTGTCAGGCCCTCCGTCCTGCATCACTGACAAGGCGGAACCACGCCGGAAAATCTGGATGAACTTTCTCGGCCAATGCAGGGATCGAACACCCGACCTCCAGGCTAGCGAGCCAGCGTCTTACCCACTTAGCCAAGTGATCCCCGAAAAGAATTTAATCACCCCAGAGAATCACAAGAAGAACAAGTATGAACACGGGATAAAATGCAGGATCCAGAGGCACAATCTTACCCTAACCCAAAATGACAGATTTGGAGACAGGCGTCAATAATGGACGGCCAGAAAGCCAGGAAAAAATCAGCAAAGATGTCCACAGCCAAGAGGGAAGAAGAAGAAGTGGGAGAATTAGATGCGCCTATCACTTTCGACCCATCATACAGCACAGCACACCCCGAAGAGGACCTTCGTAAGCCTGTCGTTAACACTGATTCAGACAGCCACTTTCAACATCCCAAAAATAATGGAAGACGTCAAGGGCCAGCCTATGAGACAAAAACTGAAAGGTGTGGACAACCAAGTCAGGTTTTTCAAAGACAAAGAAAGACTGTCCTATCCACAGTTTGTATACATCTACCACTGGTTGGAAGATGGCAGTGGAAAGGCTACAGGTAATTATCACGTACTTACCTTCATTTTACTAATATTAACGTTCAATTCCCATATTCTTGCCTTACCCGAAACCTCCAACTCTTGAAGAAATGAAATGAAATGGGGGTTAACGTCCAACTGCTCTGCTCTGTTCCGACTGATTTCAACAGACGTCAACTAAAGAGGCGATGCGGAACTCGATGATTGCAGGATAATACATCGGTCATTAAAAGGTACTACTTTATTATCTGTGTAGCTTACAAGAGACTCAGAGGAAAATTATCTTTCCATATAAATGGTGTCCATATGTGGAATAAGCTACCAAGAACAATCAGAGAAAGTTCAACTTTTGTTTAATTAAAATCGGAGTTAAAAACACATTTTTGTTTAAATATTATTACAAACTGTGATGTGACATTTGTTAAGCGCTCAGAAATATCACCGGATAAAATGAAGCGCTATAGAAGAAGAATGATAATAATAGTAAACCATCGTTTTTTGTTTAATTTATTTTTTTCAAGAATATAAAATAATACCTGAAATCGCCTAACTCTTCTCCTATCCTAGGTTAATAAAGACGGTCATACGCCATACGGGCATCCGGAAATTTTGTCCGAGCAGCGGCACAATGGCCTAGTCTTATGTCGAATTCCATCTGCTTAGCGATCAGTTTAAGTGCACTCCAATGTATACACGGGACCTGGGTTTTTCATACCATCCGAACGACTAAAAAGCTGTCTTGTCAGGCCTTCCGTCCTGCACCATTGACAAGGGGAAACCACACCGGGAAATTTTTCTTATGGAAAGCACGTCAGTTGACTCAATGACAGACCTTATGATACGGCGCGCACGTGCTAACCATTCGGCGACTCAACTCCCCTATTGTTATAAGGATGTCTGCTTATTGACATTATGGTTAATAAATACACGGGCATATTTAGAAATTTAAGGGAATTAGCACAATATCTGGGTTAGGGTTAGGGTTTTGATAGGTTTTGGTAGAGAAATGGGGTTTAATGCATTCAATCAATTAATACGTTTCAATTTCATTTTAATAATTCACTTGCCCGTCTGTGAGGGGAAACTGGTTGCATACTCCCTTCTTAAAGGGACTATTCCAATTTGAACCGAGCCTACAAAATAAAAGTCGGAGTACGTATGAAATTTAATACGCCAAGATATAGAGGAATGTTGTATTTACCTTGTCTCAAAATTTCAGCTCAAAATATTGAGTCGTTTGGGCGTGAACGTCAAAACTGCTTATCCGGACACGTAAACCTTTTGCGATTTCGGGTCAATTTTTCGACGGGTGACCTGATAATCGATTCCCATTCCTTTAGAGGTCTATACAATGAATGACCATGTGCTATACTTGATAACGAAAGGTGAATTTCACCGACACATTATTTTTATAAAATAAAAGTCTTGGTTTTATCCAGACACCGCATAATACAGCTTGGGACGCTGATTTCCATTTCCAGATGAAGATTGACGGGTTTAAGTTGTTCGAAAACGTATCACATATATTGGGTTAGGGGCTTTTATGGGTTTTTAACAAACAATTAAGCAGTTTTATTCTCCAAAATATTATCGGGATTGGCCCTTTAAAAGACAATTTGCGGTATGTCGGTTATTGAGCTGGGTGTACCCCATACTATAGTGAGTTAATATGGTAGGAGGTTTGTGTAATTATCATTCGAATACCAACATACAGGTATACACATAATATACTATACCTATCCCTCCTAGATTCAGGTATTTTTATGTTTAACACTATAATAGCCCCGGCATATAGTTGCAGATAATCTGCTCTTCTAGCTTCTATATTCAAACAGTTTCTAGATCTGTTTCACTCAAAGTTTCTTTATTTATACCAGGTGCTAGCTTGGCCAATTTCTTGGGGGGGGGGGGGGGTGATGTGAACCCTTTTCTCAAAACGCCTTCAAAAATTCTTTGCAAATGTTTACTTTACCGTGCCACCTTATTCGCGACATTTTAACAGATCGTGCAATTGACCTGCCGTCTCTAGCGTTTCGGACTAAGTGACGTAAGAGTGCAGTGTATGTCCTCGACACAGTCTGGCGGATTTCAGACTAAGACGAGGATTTTCAGGAATAATCTATGCCACACGAATGGGGAAATAAGCTCTCTCTTTCAGTCCTTGTCTGTCATGAAGAAAAAAATAGAAGCGGAGGTTTGATGAACCGGCGGGGGGGGGGGGGTATAAGCGAACTTTTGGTAATAAACAATTTCCTAAAAAAAAAGTGCGAGGGGGGGGGGGGGCGGGAGTGCTGCTTTTCGAGGGAGGAGTTTCAGACTGTGTCGAGGACCTTTTTAACATGTCAATTATTAAGTGGCTCATGAAATATAAAGTAAAACTACGGACCTTTGGTAAATGAAAATCGATAGAAAAGCAAGATCGGTATATTCCGGTGTTTTGCGGTTTATACCGGTAATTATTTCACCCTCTTTTATGGTATATTCCAATGACTTTCGGGTATCACCTGTAGTGCCACACAAATGGGGGATAGGCACTATTTCATTTCATGTTAAATAGAGTACTTTTTTATTCGGCTAAACATTGTGTTTTGTTAACCTCCGCTTTCCATGATGAGGGTCAAGGTCATAAAACGTACGCTGAGAGTAACGTTGGCAATCTGTTTCACAGAGAATTACGAGTCTCGTATAATATCTCTGTCATAGATGACTGCCTTAACACGTGCTGTCACAGCACGCGGTGTGAATCAATGGCTGAATGGCGCGTGCATTGTTCACATAAGACATAACTGCTTCGGAGAGAATGCTGCATTTTAGTCATTTTAATACCCATTTACACTAAATCGGAAATAATTTTTAACTACAAATACGTCAAACGCCTTTATTTATTTTTCCAATATATACAAAAAATGTTTTGGAATTTAATTTGTCGCAGGAAAAAAATTAATATTTCTAGCTCATTAAGCCGCATCAATGTCATCCTTATCAGTGATTGTCGCGGCCAAGCAAATATTCACTGCGGATCAGTGTGTAACGTTGGCTCAGTTCAGCTCAACATTGCTGCTTCTCTCTCCGCATGACATATTGTCTTGTTTACGATCTCTCCGCATGACGTAGTGTCTTGTTTGCGGTAGGTAACCTATTCACATATGTCCATAACTGTGTACGTATGGGTATTTTGTATCAGTTTAGAAAGCATAACGTATGCATGTAGTCGAGAGGGATAACGTGTCTGTATTGATACCTACAGTCTATATGCATAACGTCGTGTGTATAGTTTACACAGTAAGTGGCCTAATTTTAATACTGTGTGAAATAACTAGTCGAAAGATACTGTCCTGGACTATAAATAGATTGTTATTTATGTTCTCATACGAATATTTAGCTTTATTTAATCATATTATAACGTTGGCTTGCACAATAAATTGTGTGTATGTAAGTTACACGAAATAAGACTATATACACGGTATGGTGATTAAATCAATAAAGCCCGGGTAGATCTCCATATACAACTGTACATCCGGGCTGTCAGAACAAGAAAGTGTTGCCTATTAAATAACCGACATTCTGTCCGCGGTGTCGGTCAATCTACCCACCAGTGCAGATCATGACACCAGTGTTGCAAATTTGCGACGTTCCCTAATCTACTGGCAATGGAAATAAAACGAAATTAAATGTGGTTTAACGTCCTACTGTTCTGCTCCTATACTGGGCTAATGAAAACGGGCATACGCCATAATGTGTGCTATGAGGGAAATTTTGCCCCGGGCAGCGGCACTATCGCGTACTCTTATATCGAATTCCAACTGCCAAAGGGATCTTTTACGTGCATTCCCATGTATACACGGGACCTCGGTTTTTCGTCTCATCAGAAGGACTAGACAGTTGTCCTTGTCAGGCCCTCCGTTCTGCACCACTGACAAGGGGAAACCACGGCGGAAAATCTGGATGAACTTTCTCGGCCAATGCAGGGATCGAACATCCGACCTCCAGACTAGCGAGCCAGCGCCTTACCCACTTATCCACCGTGGCTCCTACTAGCAATGGATTGTGATTGGCATGTTCTACTACAACCGTTCCTAGTCAAACGTCTGTATTGAAGCAGTTCTCGACAGTGGTATATGGAGAAAGTCGTGGGTCCGGTATCAAACACGTGGTAGAACAAAAGACACAATTCACATAGTAAATATTCACAGCTTACAATACAAAATATTCCTCGTCACATCGAAAATGGTCGAAAATGAGCATCTCTGTAGTACGGTTATTGAAAAATGAATTGAGCATTATGGAAGATTAGGAAAGATTTTACAAGAGGTGCATCATCGGGTGTCGTTATCTATATAGGTTTGGTGTTGCCTGCAGGGACTAAGTCGTTGATTTGGATGCCACCACTACCTAGTGATGAGAAATGTGAATAGATCAGTTTATAAACTATAGGGTAAACAGTGATAATTTCAAATTAAACTAAAAACTTATAAAGTCCCACTGTACTATATTATTTCCCGCTGTATTATTTTGTATGGTATGGTGTTGTGATAAAGTCCCACTGCAATATTTTGATGTTTTGTATAGTTGACCCGTAGAGTCCCGCTGCAGTATTTTGATGTTTTGTATAGCTGACCTATAGAGTCCCGCTGCAATATTTTGATGTTTTGTATAGCTGACCTATAGAGTCCTACTGCAATATTTTGATGGTTTGATGTAGAGTCCCGCTGCATTATCTTGTATAGTGGTGTCTAGTATCTGCTGTTTATATTTCAGACCGTTCCATAGCCATGTTAGCCGTACATTCCCATGTTTCCTCCCCAAAAATTGGGAAATCTGATCTAATCCAAACCATCATGGAACCGAAGAACGAGGACAGGGTAACTACTGAGAAGGTCGACGAATCAGCACAATGGGCTGAAGGAAATAAACGCGGAGATGCTACTGGGCCAAACCCTTTGGCAGAAGAAAATGAAAAACTGAAAAAAGAAATTGAAAAACTAAAACAAGAAAATGAAATGCTAAAAAAAGTAAAGAGTAGAACAAACGAAGTTAAACCAGGTTCACTACCCGGTAAGATTGCTAATCATTACGTACTGGGACTTAAAGAGAGAGAAATGGGGTTTAACATCCACTCGACACAAACTAGGTCATTTCGGTACTAACATATGGTTTAATTTTATTTCAATAATTCGCTTGCGCGTAGGTGTTTTTAGCAGTGGGAGGAAACCGGAGGACACGGAGAAAACCCACGAGGTTGGACAGGCGACCCTACTCCTTGTCACATACAACCGGGGATTCGAAACCACGCCAATTGACCCAATGACAGGCCTTATGATACAGCGCGCACGTGCTAACCATTCGGCCATCCAACCCTCCTCTGAGACTTAAAACTATCGTTTTTGTTTTTAACAAACAAGTATACTGTCTTAAAAATAGCAGGAAAATAAAGTTTTGCAAACTGTTTCAAGGAATATCAGCGCATCCTAATGTTGGCGCTATGTGCTGCCACTTCAGAAACATGGGAATGGTAATTTTAAACATGGAATAGTTGCTTTAAAAAAACAAAAATATTCTGAATATTGACTTATTAACTGACCAACATTTTAAGACAAAACGTGTCGTGACGTGCGCCAGAATGTTTCAACATCTATAGTCAACCCAAATACTATTTAATTAACAATTAAATTAAAAACACTTATATGGATATACTACTTCTAAATTTAGTATATTCAAAAGTAGTATATCCATCCATTTAAGTGTTTTTAATTTGTGAAATCTACCTCTATATGTCTTACAAGGATTAAATTAACAAGTAGTATATAATCAATTTTTAAAAAATGATTGTGTTTCCTTACTTATAAACATCGGCGTACATTTTGAGCGTGGATCAAATCGTGGAAAATTTACTATTTTCAGGAAAACGAGACTTTTAATTCTTGTTCGATTTTCTCAGCAATATTGTTGAGAAATAGTATCGCTATTTTATTGTATGTTACAGGTATAATACCATTAACAAAGCGATGTGGTAGGATGGCCAAAGAAGACCGAAGGAAGTTTATTGACCACATGTCGTTTCTTATTGAAGAATTACACCCAAAAGATCTAATTGCCATGATGTTTTCAAAGTTTCTTATTAACGAAGACGAAGAAGAAATACTTAACATAATACTGGAGAATCAGGGCAGAAAAAGGTGTGCCGAAAAAATGCTAGTCATGTTATTGAGGTGTGGCAGATATGCGTACACAATTTTCCTGAAATGTTTAGAACTAACGGGTTATAGAAATGTTATCAAGAAACTAGAACCCAACTGTGGTGAGTATAGTATTCGCTTGTCTTTACATCGCACTTGTATTATCACAATAATACATGTATTCAGAAACCTCACCAGTGCATCCATGGAAGACCAAACGACTCTTTGTTCACTGTTCTAAATTATTAATTATTAATTCATCGTCCTTAATTCTTATGTCTTTATTTGTAGTGTATTTCTACATTTATACACTTAAATTACCAGTATATGAACAGATATCATGAAATTCTCGTTGAGATCCGAATTTTGACTTTAAAGGAGCTAAATCGCTAATATTTGGGACCTAGAAATTGACCCAAATGGGTCGCAACGCATATAATAATGTAATCTGATTGTATATAAACTGATTTACATTCAATTGTTTCCGTTTTGACTCTTAATCTCAAATCAGTTATGTCCAGCGAAATACGGCATGAGTCTCAACCGAATGTCAATTTCTAGCGTCTGGTTATTCCAGTCTATCGCGCATGCTCTCCAGATTATGGCGTCGCCGTTTGACATGAGTTGTGGAATATATCAAGCCTCGTTCTTTCTGGTCACTTGTTACAAATGACGCTGAAACGCCCTCCAATGGTAAAATGTTTATTTTGTCATAAATATTGGATATCAGAAGCCTACCTTTTCCCGGTAAGATCACAACATCAATGTTGAATTGAAGTGACAAATAATTCGTGTTTTCAACGTGAAACACTTTGGATGATATTGTGTTAGAGACTTAGCTCCTTTAAATACCAAGTGAAAATGTCAAATTGCGAAACCTCTCTTATAATTGTCCCTGGTTACCGAACCCAGGATGACGTGACATAGCTTATAATTATGTTGATTTCTCTATTCAGCCCCGCCCCCTCAGCCCCGCCCACTTACCACACCTAGGCTAATACCTTGCCTATTAAACATCTGGCATCTGTTACCTGGTCATAATGTACACATGCTGCACTTGTTGTCTTTATTTTGTAGAAATATTTGAGGGCAACATTAAATACCCTGGTCAACAGTATCATGAATTGATCACAAACGATCATCCAAATCGTGAAGCGTTTATCAGAAAGATAGAAGGGGAATTAGAAGAAATATACGATGAAACAGAATTAGTAGTTATTACAACATTGACGTAAGTAGTCATTTGTTATTTCTGGAAAATAAGATTACAGTATTCAGTTGATTTATTGTGACGCCTTACAATGACAATATGCGGACGTCCAATTGTCCGTTCTGAATGTCCGATTGAGACGGAATCAAATCCGTCACAGCTATGCAGGTCACGATAATGTGGTGCCAACAGTACAATGAACTAATCGCCACCTTCCCCTTCAGACCCTACTAAACAATGACAAGAACCGCCAAGAATATTGTTCGTCAGTAGTAAAGCAACAATGACAAGAACCGCCAAGAGCATTCTTCGTCAGTGGAAAAGCAACAATGACAAGAACCGCCAAGAACATTCTTCGTCCGTGGTATAGCAACAATGACAAGAACCGCCAAGAACATTCTTCGTCCGTGGTATAGCAACAATGACAAGAACCGCCAAGAACATTCTTCGTCCGTGGTATAGCAACAATGACAAGAACCGCCAAGAACATTCTTCGTCAGTGGTATAGCAACAATGACAAGAACCGCCAAGAACATTCTTCGTCCGTGGTATAGCATTCAATGATGTCATAAGACAGGGACAAAATTATAGATAATACAAATTGACGGTTCCTGTCGGTGACTGGTAAGATATTAAATAATGTATAATAGAAATTGACGGTTCCTGTCGGTGACTGTTAAGATATTAAATTGACAAAATTACGGGTAATTGAAACTTCAACAAAGCTACTTATTTCCATCAGGTTACTTCAAAAACTGTATGATATGAATTCAGTTTCGAAATAGAAGCTTCATACCTCTTAATTCCTTATCCATTATCTCGTTGAGCATACAGCGCTTCCATATCAGTTTGTTGAAATAGTTATTTATTTTTTACAGTAAGGGCTGTGTTCAGGTCACGTTCCATCTGATATCACTGGGTTCAAAGAGTGAAAATGAACTTCGTGAAATTCTAGAACAAAAGGTGAAGTCTGGATATATTGGTGAAAATAAAGTATCAACAGAGGGATTTTCATTTAAGAAAATTGAAGGTGGTATGTGTAAAATAACTAATGTTTTTGTTTCATATATTTGCAAATTACCCAAATTGGTTTCTAGTCATAGTCTTGTACTTTAAAGTTATTTATTGTTTATTGATAGCTTCATATTGTCATTGTTATTTAATTCTATCTATATTCCTTTAAAAAAATTCAACTGAAAACACATTTATTTAATCAGGCTTTTAACTGACTCTGTATACAATCATCTCCATAATCTTGTTTGTTAATTAATGATTACATTGTCACTTTATAAAGTGCCCCTGAACATGTCATATGAAAGGGCGCACTATAAATATGTTGTAATAATAATAATAATAATAATTTACATCAAAGGGAATGGCGAGGAAACGGTTACTGACAGAAGTGTGGTTCAAGATTCGCAACTCGTAACCCAGGAAAACTTTAATAAACTAAAAGAAAAGATTGATGAATTGGAGGGGTTTAATATGAGATTGCTACAACACATTGCTGAATTAGAAACAGAACTTGAAGAAGGTAGGTTAGAACAGAACAAAATATTACTGAAACAATTTTTGACTTTAGAAAACCTGTTATAGGTCAGAAGTTGAGGGGCGAGATATTTTACCCCACTAATTAACATACAAATGCCCCATGGCGATCCATCTTGAATATTTAAATTTACCCAGGAGTGCCAGGGTGGCATCATCCGGATTCTGAATCAACATATATTGAAGATACATAATCCATAACATAAACATTAGGCTGACTATATTTCCAGGTTTGTCGACCTATTATGGTCCATGATTATACGGAAAATAGCGTTTTGAGCTTCTGGACCCTGTAGAGGTCATAATTCTTTTTTATTTGAAAACCCGTTCAAATATATCACAGCTGCACCATATTTATGGTTGAGTCCGAATTTCGTGAAAATGACCACTGTCCATTACGCAACTACTGGAAATCATGTAATACCAAGCTTTATGACCAACGAGGGGGGGGGGGGGCAAATGTTATCTGATACTGATGAAACTTTTGGCAAGTACTTTGGGTCCTTAACACATATTTTATGTGTAATTGAACAAATAGTGTCGTCTCTGACAGGACCGGATATACCAGTATCGAACTCATCAAAGATATTTGATTCTTAACATATGGATCCAGCGGTGTTTGATGAGTTGTTGCGACGAGTGGGTCCCAAAATCAGCAAGGTGGTCCATCCTGAAATTGATGATAGTCTTCACATTCCTAGCCACTAGTGACTAGTATCCAACGCTGCAATATCAGTTCCTTGTGACCTACAAGGATTGCCGTCTATGTGTGCCCCACGACAGTCAAGTAGTTGATAAATTACATGGCAGACTGTCGGATATTAAAAGAATTAAAACTGAAGCATTCTCTTGAAGATGGCAGAATTGGTCTTCTTGATCCACATTATCTTGCATTAAGTTTGACGAGTGACCGGCGAAAATTTAATCATATAATTCATTCTGGTTGATTATATGGCTTTATGTGCCCTTTCGGTGGGCACTACGTGTGTGGCGTGTAATGCTGGATACATATTGATGTGTTAGACTCCGTCAGATAAGACTGCGTCATGTTAAACTTAACTTCCATTATATACTGAGCGCCATGGAAAACGCATCACTTAGTTTTTCGTATAACAAAATGATCCTGTAAACATATCTTATTTATTTTGCTTCTTATTGTGAACAATATTCAAATGGGAACACATCAATAACAACACATTTGTACACTTATGGATGTTTAATCTGTAATCAAGGGTACAAAGTCAGAGGGGTCAAAACCAAAAGTACGACACAGATGTCAGTAGCGCGTGTGTCCTCCACGGGCCATTATCACGGTAGGCTACAGCATTAACGCGACCCCTGCAAATGTGTAGGGCGGTTCGGTGATGAAATGTGAAGCCTCCCCACACCATTACACTTCCCCCACCCCATCGATTCGTTTCGAAGACGCAGCAGTCTGCAAGACGTTCCCCAAGACGTCACCACACACGTTGACGGCCATCAGCGTGATAAAGATGAAAACGACTCTCATCACTGAAGAGCACACTTTGCAGGCTACTCTTCTCCATGTCTGGTGTCCTTGAGCCCACGGAGTCCTACTTCTCTTAGACGACATCTTACGGTGTTGGCACTTACTGGTCCTTGTCTTCCGACGACTGCTGCACCTGTTCAAGTCGCTGGGCCGAATCTGTCACGCAGATGATTGACCCGGATGTAGCGGTATTGAGCCTGGGTTGTAACGCGTTGTGGACCAGGACGTTGAAGGTCACGTGTTGATCTAGTAACTCGAACACGTTCCACCAACCTTACAATAGTGGACTGATGACAATTGAATTGTCTGGCAATAGCACGTGTAGACATGCCAGCCCTGAACATTCCCATGGCTTCATTCCGTTGATTTTCAGTAAGTCTCGGCATCTCTAGCTCGATTCCTTCACACGTCCAACAACAAATTACGACAGATTGACGTTTCACAGTTCATGTACTGCACATTAATGGCGTTTTTGTGAGTCGATTAGATTAGGTTTTGATTTGCTAGTACGATTTGGTATGATTTCGATTTGATTAGCTATGGTCCACAAATGTGAAATTTGATAATTACGATTTGGTAAGATGGCTGCCATCACGGACACCGATCAGAAAAAAAAATTGTCTCTGCTAATTATTGATGACTTGTTAAAGACAAATGAAGGTTATCTACGCAAAAAAGGAAAATGGTTGCCTGAAGTGACAAACTGAAGTGACAAAACAGGTAAAAAGTGTCCTGAGAAAACCTAGGATCGAGGAATATATTGAAAAAACTGTAAATGAATAAAATTGCTTAGAGGTGATCTAACATTATTGTGGACTATAAGGTTAACATTAAACACGTCAAACGCGTTTTAAAAAAAACATTTTTTATGGAGAAAAACAACAATAAGCATTAAAAATTACTTACGACGTCGAACATTCCGCCATTTTGAAAAAGTCAAATCTAATCGCCTAAACACCTCCTGGGACGATTAGGTTGATTTGCCTAATCAGTTGAGTTAAATCGTCTCACAAATGTAACGATTAGCATAATCAACTTGGTTCACAAATGCGTATAATAGCTAATCGGTCTAATCTAATCGGTTCACAAAAACGCCTTAAGTTGAAAATATGCTTTTAAAGGGCTCACACACAATGCTGCACGTGAATATTGGGGTTTTCATGTGCATCTCGTGCAATTTTTTTTTTTTTGCACACGGGCCGATATTTTTTGCGTTTGGGAGCATTGTGTGAACCAATAGTTCATAGTATTGCATGGTATTATACATACAAAACCACCTAGTAATAAAATATTTGGGGAAAAAAAGTGATGCGTTTTCCATGGCGCTCAGTATAATTGCGTGTGTGGCGTGTAAAGTTGGACACACATTAGGCCTACTGGCTTTTGTATTAGACTGTCGTCATGTTAGACTTCCCTTTTAATTGGATCATCTTGGCATATTTATTCTTTATACCGTAAGGACGGCAACTATTGAGTTGGTGCATGCCCAAACCTAAGGGCGGTGACACGTCCACTTTTTTAAAAAATTAATATTTCGTCTGTAAATTTGGTCGAGTCGTACTACATTTTCATCCTGATGCAAATTAGACATATCATTTGATTATTTTTCAAAGACAGAGAGTTATATCGCGGGAAATGTACTTCAAATGCGATACCGATGTCTGGCTGTTCCATTTGCCTCCCAAGGCAACCCAAAACAAGCCAATACTACCAAATACTCATCAAATGCTACCCAGTATGATCAAATAACAACCTAGCTGTCAAATAACAGCACATTTGTATAATAACTACAACGAATATTCGATATTTTACAGAAAATTGAAATGTTTATACAGTTATCTCCCTTTACAACCGATAAATAGATTTTAGATTGATACTCTGTTTAATCATCTTCTTTGGATTTGCATTTAGTTTCCAAGACGACAAACTTAAAATAAGAAAAACAAGTATAACGGTATACTATATTTTATTCCCAAATCTGTCTCTTACCACGTGATAGTGACAAGGCGTGGGGTCGTCTGTCAAACAAGTTGGGTTTTCTCTGATCCCCCGGTTTCATTTCATTGTTAAACACCCCGTCGCGAACTATATGTTAGTCTCGAAATTACCTAGTTAGTGTCGATTATTCATTTAGGTGGTAATGACATCGCCGCAACATCGTTACCTGTGGATATACAACGAAGAATAATTAGAATTTGTTCAATATCGACAGCATTCGAAGAATTGGTGAAATTTTGACGAGAGGTTTTTTTTTTTAAAAAAAAGGCGCCTGGTTTGGAACCGGAATCATTTAAAAGACAAAGAAGACGCGTTAATAAGTCATTAAAAGACAGATATAAAGATAAATTCGTGGGCTTTCCTGACATATTATACCCAAATGATTTTTTACAGGACCGCGTGCACTCGTAGACAACGTGTTATACTAAAATCACCAGGATGAAAAATATAGAATAAGAAGACTGTTGAGAAGGCCACGAGTTCGTTAAATGAACATTTTAAAATCAACCTCTAAATTACTCTTTTATTTGGATGTTTGGCTGTTTATTTTATAAACTGATTTTATTCTTTTTTTATACTTTTATACTTCTTTTAAAACTCTTTTTATGTTATGTTATTCAGGTATATTGGTATGCTTTTAACGTGTAATATTCTATGAATACACATTCTTCATAGTAGTAGTGTTGCTCATTTCCAACGCTTTCATGAATTGAAATTTAAATTAAAACTATAACTTGAAATATAAAAGTATTAAAGTTTAACTGTAAATAATTGATGGTTTCTGTTAGAGTGTAACTGTAAATATAGAGTAAGTTATGTGTATTATGTTTATCATATGAAATACTGAGATATATAATTCAGTACAATTATTGGAAATATTATCACCTTTTCTCAGGAAAGTTCCCACTTGAGATAACCTGAAGGACAAAAACCTTCTGTCCAGGAAAGTTCTTGCTAGAGATCAATATTATACTACCATGAAACCCTTATAAAACGCGGCGTTTCCTCTTGAAATATTCAGTACAAATCCTATAAATATGATATAGTCTTCTATTACTGTGTACGATCAAAGGCTTATGACGCACATTGATGCACAGTGTTCAAAATCGAGGGGAAACATGACATGTGTCGAATATTTTAGAAAACTGCCGAGTTAACTGTTGAGGTAACTGCCGAGTTAACTGTTGTGGTAACTGTTTGGCTAACTGTGTATACATTATAGCTGTTTTAGTAACTGTGTATAAATATGCATTATAATTTCACCTATAACATATTTGGATTTGAATAGAAATCCAGATTTTAAAAAAAAATGTGCAATGATATCGAAGATTGAATATAATATAAAGTGGGTACTAACTGAAGTATGTAGACTACTTTGACTTTGAAATTAACAAAAATTAAAACACCGCATCAAAAATAAAATCACTGCATCCGTAGCCCCCACATCTTCCACCTGATGAATTAGTATATAATATGATCGTATTAATACAATATTTGATGGTGTTTTATATTTTAGGTGATGCTGTAGATGTCCAACCTGGCATACCTAATTATGATAAAACAGATGCTACAGGTTATAGCAGCAGGTATGAATGGATATTACCCTACAGGCTTATTGTTTTGTTAAATAGTTTCTTATTTCATAAATTGTCTCCTCAAAGAAGGTTATGAAACCATAGCACCGAAACTTCTATACGGGTTTATACACGTGTGGTGGTACGTGCAAGAGAGTCGCATTTCACACACAACAAAACCCACAAGACAAACTGGTGGACAAAACAAGTCACCCAGAGATGACAAGAAATAAACAACAAATAGCACATCAAGTGGGGTGGGGGGAGGGGGGCAGCAGCCGTTAGTGTTAGTGTCAACTACTACAATACTAAGTGCAATAGAATTTCACCACAAAGACGAACCGCGAGAAATAAACAACAAGGCTTAATTCAAGTAGACATCGTATTCCATTAGAACCATTCTCATAAAATAGATTTAATCATTTTATAATTTCCAATTTCTATAAATAGGCTAAGTGAAGCTACAGCTGCACCTGTACATGAGGAACCAATGATGTCGGTAGAAAACTTTGATACTGAAGAATATGATATGAATCATGTAAAGCGTGGAATGGCTATTATAATTAATAATAGATATTTTGAACACATGGTTGAACGAACAGGAACAGATAAAGATGTCAAATCATTGACTCGGATCTTTCAAAAACTTGGTTTTTATGTGGAATGTTTTCAAGATTTACCAAGGGCTCGAATGAAGAGTGTTTTAACAAGAGGTACGAACCTGACAATCTGATCCATAGTCGAGTGAGAGAGAGAGAGAGAGAGAGAGAGAGAGAGAGAGAGAGAGAGAGAGAGAGAGAGTGTGTTTAACGTCCACTCGACACAAACTAGGTCAAATTTTTTATTTCAATAATTCGCTTGTGTGTAGGAGTCTTTAGCAGTAGGAGGAAACCGAAGGACCCAGAGAAAACCCACTACGTTTGACAGGCGACCCTACTCCTTGTTACGTACAACCGGGGATTCGAAACCACGCCAGTTGACTCAACGACAGGCCTTATGATACAGTGCGCACGTGCTAACCCCCCTCGAGAGTATAGTTGGACTCACACGAGAAGGGGGGTTGGATGGCTGAATGGTTAGCGTGCGCGCGCTGTATCATAAATTCTGTCATTGAGTCGACTGGCGTGGTTTCGAATCCCCGGTTGTACGTGGCAAGGAGTAGGGTCGCCTGTCCAACCTCGTGGGTTTTCTCCAGGTCCTCCCGTTTCCTCCCACTGCTAAAGACCTCTACGCGCAAGCGAATTATTGAAATAAAATTAAACCATATGTTAGTCCCGAAATGACCTAGTTTGTGTCGAGTGGACGTTAAACCCCATTTCTCTCTCTCTCTCTCACACGAGAATGATATAATATACTGTCGTAAAAGTAAGGGGGTTGAACAGAATATCCATCCTACTGGCATCAGTTGAATCTAATAGAACTATAAAGAAATTGCTAGCTTCAAATAGAATTGATTAAACCTCTACTTATTAAAACTAGTACATGTACCACAAGGTCTTAAAAGGCTAACAGCTTTTATAATGAACACTGCAGTCATTTTGATGGTCACTGCTATAGGCAATCCTAATTCCAAATGTTCACGGACACTTCTAATGAGAATACTAAAACAACTAACCACATATCAAGATCCATTATGTAAGATTTAGATAAAGACCTGACCGTTCCTTGCTATAATAGTTCCCAAACAGATAATAAATATATTAACACTTTCATCCAAATTACATGTACTTTATTCTGAGTGAACTTATCACTGTTTGAGGATATACCATAGATTGTTCATTATCGTAGAAACGGTACTTGATAACCGAGTCGCAGTCTTGTTTTTCTAATGTATTACCATTTTTTTCAAATCTAGCGGATGTTTAATTCTATTTAAATCTCGACCAGCCGTTGATCTATAGAGAAGATTATAACCTTATTATGTTTATAAATGTCTAAATAATAATTTATTGGTGTATAAAGATTTATATGTCCATATTTTTCATATAGCTGCATCAGAAGACCATAGCGATTCAGATTGTTTCGTGTGTGCTATATTATCACATGGTGAAGAAGAAAGTGTATTTGGTATAGATGGCCCAATAGAAATAAAAGAATTGTTAGCTCCATTTAAAGGTGATAATTGTAGAAGTTTGACTGGTAAACCTAAAATATTCTTCATTGAGGTACTTTTTTTTTATATTTTATAGTTTTTGACGCCCACTTGAAAATGTGGTCGTATGTTGCCGTACGTATAATGTTTTCATATTTTGCCGCCGCCTCCGACGGCCATCCGTACGTCCGTCTGTATGTCCTCCCGCCGTCTACAATTTCTTGTGAACACTTTACAGACTACATTTATCATCTGATTGTTTTTAAATTGATATTATGTTGTTTATGTCAGTGAGAAGCCTATTTAATTTCAATAATTTCGTTTCGTTTTATTTCTTTTGGAGGTGACACTTGTTTCACTTTATTGCTCCTTGTGAACGCTCTAATGACCAAATATATCATCTGATTTGTATGAAATTTATATGCATCATTTATATTAGTGAAGCGCAGAATCCTATTGAATTTCGGCAATTTCCGTTAATTTCTTATGGAGTTGTAGTCTATCTTTGACTTTGTTGCACGTTGTAACCGCTGTAACGACGAAAGGTATCATCCCATCTGTATGAAATTTATACGCATCATTCAAATTAGTGACACGAGGAATCCTATTGAATTTCAGCAATTTCCCATAATTACTTCTAGAGTTATCAGCCTTGTTTAACCTTGTGAACCCTCGAATGATGAACGTTATCATCTGATCTGTACGAAATTTATATACATTATTTAAATTATTAAATCAAAAAAAAGAAAAATAGTCTAATTTCAACAATTTTTGTAAATTTTTTCCAGAGTTGGGGCCCATGTGTACCCCCAAACGAAAATTATTATCTGATCTGTATGAAATTATCTTCTAAATGGCCCATATTTCTTTCAAATAATTGCGACAACCGTTAAAGACCACCCGGACGATTTAGCTGCCTTGGGCGTATATTGCGTTGCTTGGTAACCTATCTTTTTTTTATTAACAATATTATGGCAAGTGCTCAGGTTAAATAAGAAACTTTAGATTTATCTCAATATAATCAGTGGATGAAACTGTTAGATTCTTTATGTAGAATCAATTATTCTTGTCCCAAGCCAAGATTCTAAATTGTTTAGATTTGTTTTGAAAGACATACTGATTTCCTGGTGTCAAGAGAAGTTGTAGATAAACGTGTTGAATCGCAATGTTTTACCATGATGAACTTGTCTGTGACCCAGACTTGTGTGCAGTGACCAATTCGCGTCTTGTTGTAATCCTCTACTATTTGCTGTGTTTAAATTACCCCTAAGCATCATCAAATACTTGCATTATTCAAGTCACTTTATGAAAAATTTGACAGCGGCACTCTAAAAGAGTCACGTAACCCTGATAAGATGTTTCGAACTGAAACCTTTAGACAAGGTATTTAGACCGTTGTTTTTGGTAAGTGGGTATCTGTATATGTTTAAACTTCCGGGCTTACTGATGGAGCCAATATTTAAATATAACTGAATTTGTCCTCAATAAATAAAAAGTTAAATTGGTGAACCAACCAACCTTCTTTATTATTTTGAAATAACAAATTCGAATGAACTATACACCCGGGCATGCAAATGAATAGTTATGACATCATAATACTTTTACCTGAGACAGTTACTGTCTTCGTGTGGACCCACAGTGTACGCCGTTGATGAATGAGGGAGGAGTGACAATTCAAAGTTAAGTGTCCACAAGAACAACAACAACAAAGTGAGTGAGGTGTAGATACCGGTATAGTCTCGGTGTAAAAAATATAATCATATATAGTACACAAGATTAGTTCACAATAGTTTCAGCTGCTCCATTAACATTACTTCAATTTGTAATTTAATATGATATTATTATTCAGGCTGGTTTTGGTTTTAAGTTAGATGATGGTGCAATAAGAAAAGATGGCGGTGTAGAAGTTCAAGATAAAAACACACAGATAATTCCTACTGAAGCTGACTTTTTAATTGTTAATGCTGCTGTACCAGGTCTGTTTCTTTCTAGTTTCTAGTTATTGATGTATTTGTTAGCTTTGTTGACTGTTAAATATTGAAAGATTAAACCCTGCATTTTTATAACACTGGTAGTTATTATAACCGAATAGACGTGATTAGATTTTAGAAGATAGAATTGCCAGGTAACATCAGGAAACTCACAGGGGCCTGTAAAATAGAATCTCTCTTTCAAAAATAATATTACGCTTAGACTTAGTATTAAGCCTAAATTCAGATTATTAAATGTAATGCAAATGAAATGAGCTGGGGTTTAACGTCCTACTGTTCTACACCGACTGGGCTAATGAAGACGGGCATACGCCATACAGTGTGCTATGAGGGAAATTTTGCCCGGACAGCGGCGCAGCAGCCTACTCTTATATCACATTCCAACTGCCATGGGATCTTTTACTTGCACGCCAATGTGTACCGGTGACCTCGGTTTTCCGTCCCTTCCGAACAACTAAACAGCTGTCCTTGTCAGTCCCACTCACAAGGGGAAACCACGCCGAAAAATCCTGATTAACTTACTTAGATTATCAAATTCAGGGGCAGATAACTCGTCCGATAAAAACTAAAGGCGGTATCCAGCATTTTACAAATTATGTCACTGTTTCTTTAATTATCTCCAATATCTTCTGAGTTTACCTGTACTCATTGCACTTTTAACTTGATCGAATTCCACCAGGTAAATCCGACAATTATTCCATGGTTAATTGGGGGAAAATCAAATTACCATCACATATGGACTCTCCCTATTTTGATAATGACGATGCTTTTATTATACCGTTAACAACATTTACAATATCAATATATTACTTATGTTATTATCATACATCTGTCTTTACAGGATTTTTGTCATGGAGAAATATTGGTACCGGTTCTTGGTTTGTACAAGCTTTATGTGAAGTCTTTCAAAAATATGGCACAAAGCTTGAACTTCTGTCTATGATGACGATGGTTAATAAAATGGTAGGTTACCATTTTGAATCGAAGATCAGGCAGGAGAATATTCCAAGAATAATACAAATGCCTTATATTGTATCAATGTTAACAAAAAATGTTTATTTTAGACCTAAAGCCCGTTAATATGTATGTACATTTCATTTTCCACTTTCACCTAATACGATATTCAAAATAATTACAGTCTAGCCTAATTACTGCTATAACCGAACTACTTTTCTTAAAACTGGATGGTTGCGATAGTAACCACCTACATGTAATATCTAGATTTTCAAGAAATACTGATTGAAGTTTTTTGTGGAACATATTTTTACTGTGATTTTTAGAGGGTTCTGCCTTCATCTGTGATATATTCTTTCAAATGTAATGGGCTCAATTTAATATTGCATGCATGTTGTATGAATAGTTGTTATTAGTAATTTTGTTGTAAATTTAAAATAATTAATCGATTTATTTCTGAAATAACACCAAGAAAGAACATAATTACTAATTATATCCAGTTATTTCTGTTTTATTTTTGTTTATTAAGAAAATTAAAATTTAATATCCTATGGACGTGGCTATTCGTGGATTGCTTTCAACAGTTTTATGGTTAGATTGAAGTACTGCGAATGGCTCAAGTATATCCGCCCTGAGCGGAAGTAAATAATCAACTATACCGAAGTCCAAAAGAAAGTATACACACTAAAAATATGACTAAGTTTTGTTTAAATCAAAAAAATGTGATAAAACTACACTGAACACGTCTCGTGCGTCCAAACTCAATATTTCTAAGCAAATAAACGGCAAACCAAATGAACATCGTACCCAAATACCGCATACAATGGAACACGACTTTGTTTGAAACAGGACGAAATGAACAGTGTATACTTTCTTTTGGACTTCAGTATACATCATACATAACAATGTCGGCCAGTGTCAACTGTAAACAGAAAATAAGACAAAATATATTATTCTACACGATTTACCCAATACTACCCAATACCACCCAACATTACTTAAATACCACCACATACTACCTAATTATGGTGAAACACTATCATAATACTTTAATTATATATAAAAAAATCGAATTTATTCGCCGAATTGGAAAAATTATGATAAACTGTATTATCAGTATCGGGTAGGTCAAGCGTCTAAAGTCAAACCAAATATGACCAAATATTTCCCAAGTCTATCCTAGGGCTGTACTATATTGCAAAAAAGGGACGATATCGATATTGGCATTTTTTTTCAACGATATAGTTAAATATCGCGATATTTAATAATATGTCACTTTGCTATTAAATAAATTAAATATATATGCATTAAAGCTGACTACAGTGTGAGTAAGAATTGTGGGTAAGAATTGCTTTATTCATACACTTTAAACTTTGCTTTTTTTTATAATATAGATTTATTAAAATATACAAAACAACATCCTTTTTTGATAAAAACGTTTCAATGCTTTTTGTACTGCTAGTACTAGCTAAGTTTTCCATAATTAAATTAAATACAACCGCTGATGTTTAAAAAGCGTCTGCTTGTGACCATGTGTAAGAAAATTCTCAAATATATCACGTGCAGCGGAAGTAAGTAGATGCAGTCTTCAAGTCTTGTATTGTAAGTTCAAACAGTTTACTATTATTATTGTATACAATGTTTTGTAATACTCTTCATATTTGGAGGATCAATAAAGATATATATATAAAATCATGACTTTAATCTGTTAGTGGCAAATATTATCATTAATAAAAGTTATTTGTTGCTTAGTCAGTGGTTACTGGTTAAAAGTTTGGGCTTGGTAACTTTGTTCCCCTAGTCATCTACAGGAGGTGGTGAACTATCCATAATTAATCGAACGGAGCTGCCTGTGCTGGTTTCTTCTCTAATTAGTCTGTTTTTATAAGGTTTTTCTATTTGATAGATAATTGGGCTATTAGATCATTTGGTTTTAACGTCTTGTCGTTCACTCTGTCTGGTATTCTTCTCTCTTCTTTCTCTATCTAATCGTTCTTTAACTTTAAAATAAGAACAACAATAATTAGGAGTAACAACAAAACACATACTTATGGAAAACAGCTACTAGTGTATTTAAGGCGACGTTTCGTAGAGTATTCTCTCAACGTTATCATACCTGCCTCATACCTGTTTTACTGTATTAGCTTGATAACGTTGAGAGAATACTCTACGAAACGTCGCCTTAAATACACTAGTAGCTGTTTTCCATAAGTATGTGTTTTGTTGTTACTCTATCCAGTTACTAAATGCCATTTAAAGAAAATAATAAGGAGATGAACTCTGAGGGGACTCACCATGGTGCATTTGGAGCCCTTAAACCATTAGATTGGTTGAGCGGCACTCAAACTCATTCGACGTTAATTTTAGAACATTCGAACAGAAATCAGAGCTTTTTTATATACTTTTTAAATAATTACTAACTCTAAAAATGATTAAATTCGAAATAAATTGAGTATTGTGTTTGAAAAACGTCCAAATACGCTTGTAATCGTGTAGATATTTATGTTTTGCGTCATTTTGAGGTGTGATTTCTACCTCACCAACAAACGCATCTGGTTGATACTGATTTTATATAGTCACGTGGTTGATACCGATTTTATAAACTCACGTGGGTGATACTGATTCTATAACTCACGTGATTGATACTGATTCTATAAACTCACGTGGGTGATACTGATTCTATAACTCACGTGATTGATATATAAGAAATGAAATGAAAATTTGTTAATCTTGGTTAATGCCCTGTTTCATCTTTTAATTGTACAATAAGCCAACTCTAATATATACGATTATGCACCTTTGTTACATCAATAGCTTGTTATAACTAATCATGCTCACTCACCTTGCATTCCATTGGATAGTTCGCACTGATGTTTGTATTTATATTCATATCTTTCTCATTTTTTATCTATTTGTATATATGCTTGATAACGACTTGTGAAACCTTGTTGAAACGTCGCAGTGAAATAAACCATAGTAATTGTTATCCATAAAAGTGTGTTTTTGATTTTGAAAATGAAATGGGGTTTAACGTCCTACTGTTTTGCTCCGAACTGGGATAATGAAGACGGGCATACGCCATACAGTGTGCTATGAGGGTAATTTTGCCCGGACAGCGGCACTACGGCCTACTCTTATATCGAATTCCAACTGTCAAGGGATCTTTTACGTGCACGCCAATGTGTACACGGGACCTCGGTTTTTCGTCTCATCCGAATGACTAGACAGCTGTCCTTGTCAGGCCCTCCTTCCTGCATCACTGACAAAGAGGAACCACGGGGATACTTCTCGTGATTATCAACAGTTTAAGGAATATAATCAATTGAACTTACGGTAATATCGTCGAACAATGTTTATAACTTCCTTTAATATATCTAGATCAGGATGAGATTCTTTGTTTTCTTTCTTACCATCGAATTTTGTCAACATGTTTTGTAGTGCTTGTATCTTTTTATTCAGGTCGTCTACATCGACATATGGTCGTTTAGTGATGTAAACATATTGTTTCTTGTTCTGGCCATCGCCTCCACCGTTAATATGGTCAACATAGCCACCGTTATTATGGTCAACATAGCCACCGTTATTATGGTCAACATAGCCACCATTATTATGGTCATCATAGCCACCATTATTATGGTCCACGTAGCCACCGTTATTATGGTCGTCGCCTCCATCGTTATGGTTGTTATCGTATCGACGGTTATTATGGTCAACATATTTTCCGTCATTATCGCTAGCTCGTCGGTTATAACGATAAATATAATCGTCTCTAGTTTGACCGTGGTCATATCCTCCTTGAAGTTCACGAGTATCAACTGCCAGTGGTCTTGCTGAATCCACCGTATGGTTAACGTATTGTCCTTTAATATGGTTAGCGTATTGCCCTTCAATATGGTTAGCATATTGTCCTTTAACACGGCTGTCGAATTGTCCTCGGTCGTGGTCATCGTACACTTCTTTGTTTTGTTTATATCGGAGAGTACCTGTAACCACTGCTTTGGCTAATATCACCAGATAGACAAAACGAATAGCAAGTCGCATTTTAAACAACTGTCTGGGAGAATTGAAAAGAATAAAATGACAGAGATATTGATATTTATCCTATCGTACAATAAAAAAAGGGTTTTATTTGATAAGTAAAACAACAACAGATGTTGATCATCAAAGCCTAATTTTAATATGATAATTTAATAATACTTGATTTGTTTTTATTAACATTAAAAGATACATCTTCACCAAAGTATTTATCGGGTGTTTATTTTCAATAAACGTATGGCAAATGTGGTATATATGAAAAATACAGACGCCCATTCATACTAGAAAAATACTGGATTACCCGAAAAACTCCGATGGGGCAAGCACGGGCGAAAAATGTTAGGATATCACTAACTGGCAACACTGGCAGCCCGACGGCTTATTGTATGCTAGCTTGACTGGGGGGGGGGGGGCATTTGTTATTTTTTGATCGAATGGTTGGGCGGTTTTGGGACCATTGAGGGTTGTAAACGTATAACATACTCTGCAAGTAAACGGCGGAAAAGAAGTTGGTAGAAAATAATTCACGAATTGTCTTAGGTCTCAGTATGTATGGTAAATGGACAGTAAGTAATGACAAGTAAACATTCTGAAAAATGGAGCCTCTCTCAATCAAGGTAGGTAACAAACATGGCTTCTAAAAACAGATTTCTTTTATAGCTTGGGGAATCTCCTAGCGAATACAAAGTTTTGTAAGGGATTTGAAGCAAGGGTTGATTGAATTTGTACCTATCAATCCGTATATAGCTGCAATATGAAAATAACGTTCTTTCCCACCTCTAGTCTAAAGCTATTTTAGAACCCTTACCGACTATTATACCTTTGTGTCAGATATGGCGAGAAACGATTCCTTTTGGCGAAAAAGAAAAACCTACAGTGAAAAATAGAAGGTAAGGATTCCATAATAGCCTTTGAACAGAGGTGGGGGGGGGTGGGTGGGGGGGTATGTTCATATTGCAGCTATATAGAGAAGGACAGGAACGGTCAGCGGGCAGGATCCGATCAAACGGTCTTAAAGTAACTACTCTAACCGTTCTTTTGTTGGTTTCTAACCTGTGACAGCTCGGCTAAATACCTTTACAGTGAAGTTGTACTAGCTTGACCACGCAACTGCAGCTGGTAGTCCAATGCCATCAGATCTATGTCACATCTAGGCTGTACAAAAAATACTTGAAAACTTTCGTATACATTTTTATAATTGAATGATGATCTAAATTATGTATATTTTGTTTATTTCTTGTCAATGTGTCGTTTATGTGAAAACGCTTTTTGCCAATTGTTTGTTAAAGGGACACAACTCCATATATGCGATGACGTGGTGCGGTGTCGTCAGATCATTTAACCAGGTGCACTTCGTTGTATTAGCTATAAACATTATATGGGTACAGATCTTTTGTGTTATTAAAATAATAACTAATGATAATAAACGCCTAAAATAACTAATGACAATACAACATCGAAAAAAAAAACCAAATCAAAAGAGAGAGAGAGAGAGAGAGAGAGAGAGAGAGAGAAA